AGTGGACATGGACGTCGGCCGAGGTTAGTAGTTTTGGCTCGATCAAGCGGAAGATACTATCCATGGAGGAGGGGGTTCCTAACAGGAAGTGTAGGAAATGTGGTACCGATATGTGTGGCACATGTCACATGTCTTGCACAGTCTTGCTACATCCTGGTTATTCCTATTGCCTGCTTACAACATATAAAGACTACAACGAGCTCGATCACACACGTACTCAACGATTCCGTCACTGCGCCACGAAATTACCACCACACAGGTGTCTCACCTTCAGCCATCGCTCTATCTTGCACAGCGTATACCCTGGCCTTGAGCTGAGCCAATGCCGCGCTCACCGACTCCTGCATCACCTTACCGAGTTGACCTGTCATAACCACGACTATTTGCGAGAACCCTTCTAAGGTGATTCACCCGTGATGGACACCTTGCCCGTCCCTCCGCCGACACTAGCAGAACTACTCGTTAGAGTCGTCTCTATCTCCAACACGTCACCACCACCAGCAGTCACTGCCAGGCCTAGCGCAACCTGGAGAAACGTTCGGGAGTCGTGACAACAGGAGTGTACGCTCACTCCTATCTGTTGCCCTCGTGAGTGCTGCTGCCTCGCCCGCCTCCTCGCCAGCCTCGCTGGGGACTCGAAAGTCTCCGGTCCGAGAATTCCAGGGATATCCCTCTGCTGTATCTAGGATCAACGCAACTTGAGATCCACTAATTGTAAAATAAGGCGGCTTTTCCAAATCAGACTGATTTTCCTACCGACAAATTCAAGTTATTTACATTTTTAATTTTTTTTTCGGGGCTTTCACGAAATACCAAGAAAATTAGTATTATACCCGGTTTACTTGAAAGTTCAGGAGTTTAGTTTAACCAAGGTCAAACGTTAATCAAATGCGTAAAAAAGTAGATTTGTCGGTAATAGATAAATTTGACCTGGAATTGCTATAGTGCTCGACCCTCAGAAAAAGGCAGGTCGTTCTCAAGCGCATCATCATCATCAACGATCTTACGGTGAAAGGCGAGGGAC